AATTGAATTGAATTTGCCTTATTGTACGTGGCGAGACTCGGGCCATCTGGCCCGCTCTTCCGACTGACCACGCAAATTTCGCTACGCTCCTCTCACCAACTAGCAAAGAAAGGAGGTATTTCTTGGGCGAGTAACAGGCGATTTGAATTTAGCTCAGAGGCGTCATTTAGGCTTGAGAATCTTTTACATGCGAGTAAATCTACTTACATGGGCCAGCCGGCTTTACTTTCCCTCCGAAGAAAGGCGTACGAAGGATATTTTCACCTTTAGAAATCCACGGCTTCGATCGGGTTAGAACCCGCCAACTTGGGCACAACAGTCCGGTGCGCTAACCGTTACACCATCGCCGCCGCGGCGCGCGCGCGTGCTGCTGAGAGCGCCCAGAGGAGGGCCCGCGGTGCGTGCGCAGGGTGCGCGGCGGGGGCTCGGCCTGCCGCATCCCGATCACCGCGCGCATCGTGCACCCGCGCCTCGAGATCAGCTACCCGCTCCCGGGCGGCGAGGGCAAGTACGTGCTGCTCAACTTCGGCTCCGTGTACTACGGCGCCCAGAGCCGGCTCGTCACCACTGTGCACAACTGCAGCTCGGAGATTTGCACGTTCGTCGTCATGGCCGAAATGCCCAACGGGAGGCTCATGGTGAGTGGCTCTTTCAACATACACGCGGCGCCTGCCGACGTAATAGTAGGGCACTGCACTTAATTCACAACAAAATCCTGCTTGCGTAGAGTGCAATTTCCTATTTTAGAGCTGAAAAGCCTTATTTTAGAACTAAAAAGGGATATTATGACAATTTTGTGAGGAAGTGAAGGGTATTGAAGAAAAATATATACATTTAGCAACGCCTTTGTAATATGAAGAAAAGTCGTGTCTGGTTCATGTAAGACGATATTATCAAACTGACACAAGGAAACGCACGATTTTTCATCTCTGAGTTTATATAATTGTCGGCAGTAAAAATTACAGAATAGTTTTCCATGTTTAACCAAGTACATTAATCCCCGCTCCTCTTGTCGCACAAAGGGTTTTTTCAGGTAGACGAAAACCTCCAACTATTTTCAAGAAATGGGAAGAAAAAACCCAGAAATGACACGGTTTTGTTTTTAATAATCTATTATATTATGATAATTTGTATAAGTAAGAGAGTTAGAACAAAAGTTATAGCAACTGGAAGTTTTCATGATCATGCAGAGTTGCAATATGCAGAGTTGCATAGAGAAATGCAGGGAAGGCAATTTTATATACATATATTTTGAAGAACATTAATATGTGCGTCAGGAAAGAAAAGACAAAATAAAAAAAAACATCAATCAGTTACAGATATGTTTAACCTCCTTATCCTATCACTAGCCCTAACATATCATCAACCAACAATAAGAAGTTATTCCGGAAATTTCAAATTGCCATGTTGCAGTGTTCCAATCGAATGACAACACTGTGAAAAATATTGTAAAAAATAACTCTTGATAATTAACAACTTTATTACTAATAATCTAATTAATTACTAACTACCAATTAAATTATTCACCCTGAATTACTAAATAAAACATTATGATTAAGTAACTCCATAAAGGTTCTAGCAAAAGAAACGCTGGAAATTTGAGTTTAAAGATTTCCTAAGTTTCGCAAAAACTATTAATATTTTTGAAACAATAAACTTGACATAATTTGAAGATCCGTGTTTTATGAACAGTTTTCATTATTGAAATAATTTCAATCTTTGATATTATAGTTGTAGGAAGACACAAACAAAATTTGAAATGTTTATAATTTTCAAACATTTAAGGAGTGCAACGAAAATACGACATACGCTATTTATTTATGCGTCTTTTGTTCTATCGAAGGAACAAATTTAAATTAAAAAATGTGAATTTCTTAGAAAGTTTTGAATATGTTGAGGCTTCATGTAAATTGAGACGGTAGTTAGAAGAACGGCTTATACTCCAAAACTGTGTTTTGACACAAACGCATTCCAAGTTTTCAATCATAGAATTCTACACACTGGTATATTTAATTGCAAAAAACATATTTTAATATATTATAATAATTTTTACATTTCATTTAATTTAGAACGTAATTAAACTTTTCTTAATTTCAAACATGGGGCGTAAAGAAATGTGCGTTATATGCCCTTCTGGAAAGCACTTTATATTTACCCCATATGAAATAGGGTAAATATCGAATATTAGAAAATTCTAATTTGCTTTTATTGTACACTACTAATATAAACTATAATGTGGTTTGTTACGTATTTTTTACCTTACATTTCATCCCTTGAGCTATCAGATTCAGATTCACTTTTGTCGACATTTTCAATGAACACTTCTTGAGGATTATATACTTCAAAAAAGTTTTGGTAACGTTATTTTCCAAATTTAAAATTGTTTTGAAATTCTCTTTCTCAAAGTACCCATGTACGTTCCGAATAACAGTCACTTTTGCCGGATTCAGTGTAACTCGAGTCATTGGAGAAAGTGCCATATTCTGGGGAACTCTCTTCATGTAACGGAATTTTGCTCTACCAACCTAACGAATAGAGATAAAATTATGAAAATTATGTTTGGATATAGATTAAAGTACATACAACTCATTTCAACATTCTCCGGAAGAAGGGTTCATAGTTCTATGAGCCCCTCTTCTAGCTACCACCTCAATTACCCCCAAAAATAAAAATTTGCGTTTCAAATTTAAGAGGCAGTGACATCAGTCATATCGAACGGAGAATATTAATTTTGGTGAAAATTCAGGTTCCGGTTAAGCCAGTAGCGTTGTTCATACACGCATGGAGAGTGGACTGACAGAGGGACACACGTTTTGCTGTCAATAAATTTTGGTATTAAGGATCCACCAAATGTGGATTATGATACGTAATTTACTACATGAAGGGACAAGATTCATTAACCTTTGCGTTACCAGGGCCGGACAATAGATTTTCTGTCTAAAAATTACCGTTTTTATTCCTGCTGCATTACTATTTATAAATCAATTTAATTCTTTTATAAAGTATTACAGCTTTAAATAGGACTGTACTTACTAACCTAACCTTATTTAGTAAATACTTAGTACACTTATAGTCTATACTTAATTGTAGTCATAGTACTGCATAATTCAACATATATGCGGATACTCGTCTAATATCACATTTCTGTAGTATACGTACCTTAGGTGCCTCTTACACGCAACCAATCTTGATAAATGATGTCTCTACAGAAAGAGAATTCCACGGGGACGTGAATACTTTCACTTTGAGTATTTATTTAAAAAACACATCTAAATATTCATGTCATATGCAACCCGTAAAACTCAGTAGCATTTTCAATTTATGTTGTTAAATTACTCCTAAATTAAGCGTTCTATTAGAAGCTAAAATTTTCAGACCAAAGTTCTCAAAAAACGTTCCTCACACAGCAGTCTACAGGATGAGATATTCTTGAACATACAACTAAATTTTTGCTTGTCCGTTACTTAACAAATAAATACGTTCGATCATAACTTTCCCTCTTAATATGGAAATAGAAGCATAGAGAAGACGGGAGAGTTTTACATGCGAGAGTTCTCGCACAAGTACTTCATATTTACACTGGTTAATAGAGTCAAGATCATAGTAGTTAAATATAATAATGGTTAAAAGGAATAAATTAAATAAAAATGCAAATAAATAAATATTTAATAAACAAATAAATATTTAATAAATAAATAAATATTTAATAAATACATAAACATACTGCGTGAGGAGTAGGCGTGGAAGTGAAAATGCGAATGTGCAACAGTGGGTGATTACGTTTTCAGACGTTGCAGGACGCACGTTCTCAATACCCCAGACTGCGCGTGTTCGGCGCTCATCCGTCCGAAGGTCGAATCCAGTGCATGGAGTCGCGCATCTTCACTTTCGGGTGAGCCCTCTGCACATTGGCTTAGTCTCTCAAGAGAGAATGCGCAGTCGTTTTCTGTGAGGGGGTAGAAATGTCGGGAATACAGAGTTGCCATCGACACCCAAAGAATCCTCATTTCCTTTAAGTCTACGAGCTCATGGTGTTTCAGCTGCATGGGAACTGATTAGACATGTCCACAAATACAGACAACTAATTTAAAAAAAAATCAAACTTTCAATATCACAATGGAATATGTTATTAATAAGTAAGCATCAAGGACTTAAATATATTTTAAATAAGCATAAATGAAAAATCCACTATTAGAAGGTATTGTGACTTCGAACTAACTCCTTTGTACTAACTTCGTATAACCCTTCCGTGTATAGAAAAATTCTGGTAGCGTTACTGAGTCAGTAATGTTCGGAGTGATAGTGATAGGTATCCCATAATAATTCGGAGTGGTAGATATTTCTGTATATAATTATCATCATTTGAAAATTCCATTGTCCAGCACGTTTCAGACGCCACTATTTTCTGTCCATTTCTTTCGTCTTGCGCTTCCTATACTAGTCGTGCCTCTGTTTAGAGCACATTGCCATTCACTCTTTAAGCATGTTTTATTCAGTTTTGCGTGATTTTACTCCCTTCAGCAGTCTTCTTTTCACATTTACGTTTTAGATCCTTATTTCTGACTTATTATATTTAATTCTCTTTCACTCTCTCTCTCTCTCTCTCTCTCTCTCTGTATCTCTCTGTATCTCTGCCTCTCTCTGTCTTTTTCTGTTTCTCTCTCTGTCTGTCTCTCTGTCTCTGTCTGTCTCTCTGTCTCTGTCTGTCTCTCTGTCTCTCTCTGTCTCTCTGTCTCTCTCTGACTCTCTCTGTCTCTCTCTCTCTGTGTCTCTCTCTCTCTGTGTCTGTGTGTGTGTGTCTCTCTCTCTCATACCATATTTCCAATAGCTTCAGAATTTACTTCCGTGCTTTGCCGTTATAAAGAGAATATTCAGAAAAAACATTCACCAAGCAACTTGATCGATTTTTTTATCTTCTCCTTTGGTGAATTTTAGCAAATATAAATGTGCATTAGAGAAATGAATTTGATACCTTTAATAATGTGTTAAATGTTCTGGAGTTTAGATTCGATCCACAGCAATGCCTGGTTGACGAATACGGCCAGCTAGCTAAAAAGTCACAGGACTTCCAAATTTTCGTTCGAGTTCTTCGTGTAGCGTGCATCGACTATGGCATTGAACGAGGTATGTTTTAAACCCAATTTGTCTGAAACTACAATATAAATATTTTCTTTAATAGAGACGTTCATATTGATGAAAATTGTCAGTAATATGGATGGGTGAAAACCAGAACGGTGTAATTGGCATTTTATACATTCTGAGAAACCTGTTTATTACTTCAATATCACTGTAATAGTCACAGGGCATTGTTTCACCATTAAAATCACGGAATTGCAATTGTTCATTAAAACCATGAAAATATATTGCCACAGAAATGAAGCCTAAAATAAACACGTTTTTTACAGAATGTATAAAATGTTACTTACATCATTCTAGTTTTCATTAATTTATATGATTGATACGTAAGATTGGACTATTTTTTAATACTACACAAAAACGTATTTACAAATGATTATATTGATTTATTACAACATGGAATTACAACATTTATTGCCTCCATGTAACTTGTAGCTATGCCGCCATGTAGACTAGCTTCCATTCAATCAGATGTATTCGAACATAACTGTTATTAAAATTAATTTCTTAAGAGATGACACAAGTTAACAAGCATAATTTAAATAAAGAACATTACAAAGAATTGTTAAAATTATGAAATTATTCGGGCAAAATTATTTTCTGTATAATTATTTTTTATTTATAGTATATTTTCATATTTCTTTTAACGGACTAGTTTTATGTAATAATCGTTGACTTATTAAATAATAAGGAATTTGTATTACATGTTACAGCCAAGAAAGATAACGAAATAAAGCAAATACGGAAGGACAGTGACGATATACTAACTGGTGAGTTTCTAGTATTCACCCCACAACAATCACGGGCACTTTCCCCGTCAACCCTTCACTTCATATTCGTTCCTTCCCAACAGAGTAAGATCAATCGTCACAAAAATACCGAAACACTCGAGACACAATATTTTTAAAACTATATTTGTACACTACTACCCAATTGAATGAAGTTGGATTGTCATTGATATATAGAACCTATATATTTCTTATAAAACTTCCATTAAAGTACGATCTTAAATATCAATTTTATATACTATTAAAAAAATATTTCAAAAAGAAATGAATGAACGAATAGTGGTTAAAGAAGAAGAATAGAGTATCGTAGTATTTAAAAAATTGATCTTTTAACATTCTAATGACTAAAATACTCTACTAGCTTAACTAAATATAATGCTTCACGAACTCCCCTTTTTTTTGTGAAAAGAATGTTCCTGAAGTGTGATGTATGACTACAACGTAATTCAATAGTTCTTAATTACAACTTCACAAAAAATAGTATTTCTCATCCGTGTCCATTCTTCTTTCTGATACACCGATACGCTTAAAGCTAGTTTCGGCTGAAGTGGAACGATATGTTGGCCGACCTCGGATATCACATTTCAGGGAATGTGGAACACCAGCATCTCCTGGAATGTAACTTGCCCTACATTCACAGGATTATTGACAGTAGCCCCTGATACCCCTCGAAGAACAAAATAATAAATCAATATTTGTCAGAATACTGTCACAGCTTTCGTGAGCGCAGACTGACCGTGGGGGCTTAGTACATCGACTGATGTCACTATGGTACCCCTGATACCGAAGTCCTAGTTTTAGAGTCCTGACGGTGAAAGGATTTTGGACACTAGCTAGAAAGCTAGGTTGAAGTCAAACGCTGACTGGAGAAGAATTTTAGCCCCCGCGTACTTGGAACGGTACTTTTCCATGGTTTCTCCGATCAACATCAGACGAATGCCGGAGAAGTACTCTCTCAAGCAGGTCACGGACCGAGCCCAGTCTTTCCTTTCTCTTCCTTTTCCTATCTTCTCCCCGCACGTACATTCTCACATGCATTACACTAACACACATGACAGGAGCTTAGAGCTTGATCTGGCTGGGACGGTGCCACGCTGGTGGGAGCTGGAAAACACTCTAGCCAACGTGTAGGTCCGCGCCGGATCTGAATATCCAGCGGAGATAAAACATCGCCACCATGACCTATACTTCCGTACGGAATGACCAGGGAAACGATGCACCCGTAAAGCCCATATACTAAATGGTGATCAAAGCCATTAACGCACCCCTAAAGCCAAAATACAGAATGGTGACTATACCATTTGATGCACCCGTAAAGCCAAACGTAAACTAAATGGTGATCAAAGCAATTAACGCAACCCTAAAGCCAAAATACTGAATGGTGACCATACCAATTGACGTGTCCGTAAAGCCAAAATACCGAATGGTGTCCAAATCAATTGATACGCTAGTAAACCCCTCGACACTTATTGATGTCCATAAAAATTGACACGCCCGTAACGACAGAACACTGAGTGATGATCATAGCAATTGACGCGCCCGTAAAGCCAAACACTGATTGGTGACCATAGCAATTGTCTTGCCGGTAAAGCTAAAACACGGAATGGTAACCAAAGCAATTACCGTGCCTGTAAAGTCAAAATACTGAATGGTGACCATAGCAATCGTCTCGCCCGTAAAGCCAAAACACTGAATGGTGACCGTAGCACTTTACGCGCCCTAAAGACAAAACACTGAATGGTGACCGCAGCACTTGTCTCGCCCGTATAGCCAAAACACTGAATGGTGACTGTGTCAATTGTTTCGCCCGCAAAGCCAACGCAATTACCGTGCCCGTAAAGTCAAAACACTGAATGGTGACCGTAACAATTGTCTCGCCCGCAAAGCCCAAACCCTGAATGGTGACCTAGCAAGTGGCGCGCCCGTAAAGCGCAAACACTGAAGGACGGGGGCGGCGCAGGCGCGATGGAGCTGTTCATGGCGTCGGAGGCGGCGCAGCTGCGGCAGCGCGAGGAGAACGCGGCGCGCGACAGCTTCGTGCGCGTGTGCCTGCACGGGCGCGCGGCGCCGCTGGCCCTGCGCCTCACGCCGCGCGCGCTGCAGCTGGGCCGCGTGGCGCTGGGCGCGGCGGAGCGGCGCGTGCTGCGCCTGGCCAACGGCTGCGCGCGCCTGCCGCTGCTCTTCCGCGTGGCGCGCCCGCCCCCGCCGGGCGTGCGCGTGCGACCCACGCACGGCGCGCTCAAGCCCGGCGGCGCCGTCGAGCTGCTCGTGCAGGTGGCGCCCGTCGCCTTCGGTGAGCACGCACGCTTCCGGAGGGCCGTTTGCTAACGAACAGGGCGCAGTTTCTGATCACTTGCCATCCTCTCATTAGTACCTTCTAGCCGTAGCTACCTTGTAAATGAATTAAGTATGATACATTAAAAAGTTGTCTGATATCGAACGTTTATTTTGCTAAATATCGTTTCGATCGTGTAGCGATCATCCTCAGAGCTAAAATCAAATTTACCGAAATAAAATTAAACTTCGGTGTTGCATGGTGGAGGTATGAGTGACAAATGTCAGAAAATATTGGGACTCAGTTTCAGCGACATGATAAGATAAATGAAGGAACCTTTCTCGCCATATTCCGACAAATACAAACGCGCGTACAAATACTTCCCTAATGCTATTTACATCACCATCTAATACCTGCATCTGCGCATATCTGCAACTCCATTGCCTGGCGTAGGGACTTGTTGTGCCACTTGTTCCAAGTGCGTAGGCCGTCGCCTGGGCGTTGGGACGTGTCATGTACGATTGCCTCTTGTTCCAAGGGCGTAGATTAAGCGTCCACTGGGCGTAGAGATGTGTCATGTACGATTGCCAAGGGTGTAGATGGAGGCCGTCGTCTGGTGTCGTGTACGAGTGCCTCTTGTTCCGAGGTCGTAGAATGAGGTTGTTGCCTGTGCGTAGGGACGTGTCATGTACGAGTGCCTCATGTTTCAAGGGCGTAGACGGAGGCCGTTGCCTGGGCTTGGGGACGTGTCATGTACGATTGCCCCTTGTTCCAAAGGCGTAGATGGAGGCCGTTGCCTGGGCGTGGGGACATGTCATATACGAGTGCCTCGTATTCCAAGGGCGTAGACGGAGGCCGTTGCCTGGGCGCAGGGACGCGTCGGCTGCAGCTGCGCCTGGAGCTGCTGAGCGCGTCGCTGCCGCTGCTGGCGCCTGAGGAACAGGCGCTGCTGGGGTCGCGTGTGGTGCGCATCGTGTACGAGTGCCCGGCGGAGCTTCCGCCACCTCAGCCGCGGGTAGCCGCCGGCCTCAGTCCCATCATCAACCGACAGGTGATTGAAGTACTTCCGGCAAAGGGTTGTAGTGTCTGACGGGCGATTGGAGAATTCTTCCCCACATATCATTTTCTCCGCAATTTTCTGTTAGAGTTTAATTCATCTAATTTATTTTTCTTTATAATTTTTTATTTACAGTTACATTATTTACAGTTTATTTACAGTATAAGAGAGAATTGTGTGTGAACTGGAAGAATATTCAGTGCACATATCTGTGAAATATATTGCTATGTTTTATATTAATTGTTTTTTCCTTCCAAAATATGAAATCAAATACATTTAAATTCCCCTGCCATATACATAGAATCAATACACATAAAATCCATTTAAAATAAAATATTTCTTCAATTCGTGCAACGCAGTTTAATGAGATATCAACAAAATTAGAGTTTCGTGTTTTTATCTTTTGTATTCGAAGTTTGCCGTCTGAAGCATTACACTTGCGAAATTGTGAGGAAATGACTGTTCAGGTGCACAAAAGAAGAATTAAGGAGATAGAGGAACAGCTTGAATAATGCTAACGTGCTATAGAACATTTGAAAGCTGCATAGAGTCGCAGACAGGAAAAAGGAATTATTGAAAAGGAAGTGGACAACAAAAAGTTCCTAACATAAGTGATTTGATTGTAAGGCATGTTGGGAGAGAAGACTAGCGAGCTACTTTACAGTGTTTTCCGAGAATTCAAAAAGAAGAATTGTTGCGCCGGGGGGAAGAATGTAAAAACACATAAATTGAAATAGTGGCGGTACACGAGGGGACTAACGACTTACGGCGGCGTTCAGCAGACTATATTATGGAAGATATGTACGACCTAGTGAAGAGGCGAAGAAGGAAGAGGAAAAATAAGTTTCCAATGGCCAAAATTGTTGTAAATGGTGTATTAAGGACAAATGGAGTCGAGTGGCGTAGAATTCGTACTCTAATTGCATGTTTTGAGTGGGTACCAGAACGTATGAACGTAGTCTTGGACGATCCATTCAGCTGGGTTGCAGACAGACTATGGACGTGGTGGAGTCTCAATAGGCGAGGAGCAACTCGACTCGGACTGTTGAACTCTAAAGTCTGTTGGTCACTTGCTCCCACGCCTGTTGAAAGATGACACGAACTGCCAGAAAATACTCGTTAAATGGATATATTAACAGTGTTACAGGTAAATTGTTGAAGCGTAGTAAATAAGTCCAAAGAATTCCATAATCTATTAGAAACAACAAATGCAGATATAGTTGTAGGTACTGACCCATGGCTGAGACCCCCGATATTAATAATTATGAAATATTCATTGAAAAATACGCATTGTATAGATGTGACCGAGGATGCAGGGGGAATGGTGTTCATTTGTAAAAAATCCGAGCTAAAGCGTTCACTTTACATCATAGACGAAGAATAAAAAGTTATAGGAATAGAATTTTCGTACAAAAATAAAGTAATGCTTATAGTTTATGCGATGTATCGAGCACCTGGCGAGAATTCAAATGTTTTTTTCGGGATTGACGGAGCTGACAAGGGTAGAAAGATTTCCCCCCCAAAAAAGTATTATTTTTGCTGGTCACCTAAATCTTCGAGAAATTAACTGGGTACAGGGAAATTAACAAAAGTACAGGGCAACTGACAAAGCATCTCAGATCGCAGTAATCAAGCAGGTCTAGGGAAATGGATTTAAACACGTTGTGACGTAGAAATATCGCATACAGACTTCTGGCCCCATGTAACACCCAATCACCTTACCACGTTCGAAGGCTGAGGGTTCCGCCGGGCGACCCATTCTGCTCTCACACGATGTCTAATGACTACTGCGGTCGCTGATATGGAGTACCTGGCAGCACAATGCACCTAAAATGAAAAACGTATGCTTTAGGCGTGTTCGGATGCTATTGATCACGTAGTGTATGTAGGAATGTTTTCATTTGTGAATACAACGATCCAAGATTGAAATAGCTTACCTACATCACTGTTTCAACGATCTTCATTTACTATATTTAAAAATAATTTAAATCACTGCCTTTTTGAAGTATTGTTTAAAACTAATATTTAAAAATATAATTAAATAATTGTTTTTTCTTTGACAATATTGTACAAGTACACTACCACGAGTATTGGCAGAAGAAAAGTATAAGTATCTATAGTACAATATTTTGTATTATATATAATGTACTATTTACTTTCAACGTGTTTCAATGTATCAAGCTGGGCGTACTCTTTTATTATTAATTATTTTATCATTGATGTTATTATTATTATTATTATTATTATTATTGTTATAATCATGTATTTCTATTGTATTACATTTATAATGTTTTAAGATCATAGCTTTGTAACTTCTCGCTTAACAACAGTTCACTTGTAAGAAAACACAATTATTATTTATTATGATTTTTATAATTTTAATATGATTTTATTCTGCTTTGTAATGCAGCGGATGTTTGTACGTGAGATGGTTTTGAAGAAAATTGAAAAGCGTGTCGCGTGTTTCGGCAGGTGGGCGTGGTCGGGGACGGCGTTCCGTTCTGCTCGGACGTCCCAAAACCTGCCATGGCCATGCTGGGCGCGTACGCACTCGCGCGCCGCAACTACAAATGGGGCCCCCTCCAGCCCGCGAAAGCCCGCACGACCTCGGACTCGGAAGAGTCCGAGTCCGTTTGCGACTCCAAATGCAAACAGTGCCCGCAGCCGTCGGCTTGTGCGGTTTCGAAGCCAAAAGAAAACGAGAGGTACGTACGTTCTTTACCTCATTTATAATTTTCATCAAGTTCCGTTTTTATCGAGTATCGTATCTCTTTACTGCAATGATGTGCACCTACACGCGCTTGTTGCGTATAGCGATTGCCGCACCCGCTGCCCCACATTCTAATTCGTCGTGCGCTGGACGGTCCCGGCGAATCGCCTTCGCAGAAAGTTGTCTAGGATCATAAATCGCGTACGCTCCCAAGTTCACAGCCCTCAGGCGACAGTTCGCTCTGAAAGGGCAACTAGTGGTGCTACAATAAGGCATACGTTCTGGCAATATTTGCAATCTTCGAAAATTCTAAGAGTTTAACGAAACTGACACTCAGGGTATTTTTGAAAACCTCCCTTTTTCTATCTGTGGAGCAAATTTCGAGCGTTTTTTGAGAATTTTTAAAAATAAATTGCATTAATTTCAAGAACAAATTACGCGAAAACTACGAACAAAAATTGTTATCACATGGCCGTTTTTAAAGAGCTGATTTTTTACAACGGACATTGTCTATCACAACTATTACTATTTTCAAATTTGTAGTTTAAAAATGTTAACGTTTTGAATTTTGTGAAAACATGTAGAGTTAGCACTTTTTTGAAAACGAGATTAGCACCATATTTTTTATAGTATCTTGATACATACGTGCAGATAATTTAAAGAAAAACTGAAGCCGTTTTGAAGTAAACTATTTTTTTTAAATTAACATTGCCTTTATTTCGCGCAAATTACACAAAAACTCTTCAATTTTTGAAAAATTGGACATCAACTTATTTCAAGATGTCTATAACGAACTGATTCCTTTAAGGAAAATATCTCTGTCTTGAATATTGTAGTTGTAGAAAGACGCCCTATCCCACAAAAATGTACTTTTGCAAATTTCGAAAAGTCACGAATCACAGCGAACATGAGACCTGCACCATTCTCTTAAGCGTCCTTTCCGCTATCCGAGGACAATGTTTAATACGAATTTTGGAGCCATTCTTGAGAAAATTTTAAAAAATTTTTTGTGACTTCACGTAAAGTGCCCCAAAAATCAAAATATTCTAACTCCTAGACACTTCAGTTTGTTCAGATGAATCAGGGAAATCCAAGATGCATACATTTTTTAAAGTAGATCCCTCTCAAAGTAATCAATACTTGTTCTGTATTAAAGCAAAAATAAAATATTTCTAACAATGGACGTCTACAGTCTACTCAGTCTACTCAGTTTTTATAGAGTCTTTACAGTCTACTCAGTTTTTATACACAATTTAAACGTTGTAGACTTTAAAGAGCGGATTCCCATGTAATAACATATTTTCTTTCCTAACTTAAAATTGGATGAAAACTTGATAGAAATTTGAATAATGAAACGGACGTTATTTTAATATTTGTTTTATTGTAATTGTACGTTTGCACGTAATTGCACGTTTTGTATAATGCTGTCTGAAAATTACACATTTTGGGTTTTTACTGTATGAATTTGCAAGATTCACAGTTTTGTTGCATAAAATATAATTCTTATAAACTTGTTTTAATTTTCCTTTTTTAAAGGTTTCATTTAAAAAAGTTCTTATGACTTAACCCGGTGGTGCATTTGGGTGTCCTGTGATACCTGAGCCCCGTTTAATAAGTATCAGTTATGCATTTTGTTGCCCTATGAAGTGAGCGCGTATACCTTTCATGATATCTATTGTCAAATTAAAATATTTGAGTGATTGTAGCGGGGGGGGGGTAGGTCTGATAGATCCGAGAGAGCATTGTCGCAGTTTGTTTCGGATTTTACCTCCGTGCACGTACGTCAGAGTGAGGCTCACAAACAGGTGTAACTGTTAAATGAAGTTTTCCTGTCTAAAAATTATATTAGAGGTTGAAAGATGTAGTAATTTCTCAGAAAATAATTTGAAAATGTTATTGTAAAAATATTTATAAATTATAATGAACATAATTATGACATTCTAGTTTTATACACAAACTAAATTGTTACATTTCAGTTTTAATTTTTCAATATTATGTAATGACTCTCATATAAGGTGTCTCACCTTATGAGACTTATAAGGTGAGTGAAAGGAATATGGCCAGGTTAACCGCCTAAAAATTTTCTGTTTAAATTTTTAAACAGTTTTTCAAATTAACAGCATCATGCAGAAATTTAACACCTTTTCTTAGAGTTCAAATAGCACTATCACAAAAAAAGTGATTAAGGGATATTTCGTTGTTGTTTTACAAAAATATTGTAATGTGAAGGTAATATTAAGATATTATAGGCATGCAGGTATTATGGCCATTGCCAGATTAACTGGTTTCTTGCAGCGTGGCCATGAAACTAGAGCTAGCTATACTAATATATAATGTGAATTACCCTCTTACAGTCTAATTTGACAAAAATACGATCGAACAAGATTTCAGTAATGTAAGTATTTCAGGGTTACTAATAAAAAATCAGTATTTTTTACAATGAGGCTTTTTTGTACAAACATTGAAAACATCAGTAATAGCTTAAAACTTTCAAAAAAGGTTTAATTAGTTTGCCATTGAGGATAATTGAAAGTTTCTTGGTCGTTAATGGATAGTCCTACATATTCTTCGTGAATATATTTTCTACACACACTGCATCGACGCATGTCCTGAAGAACCTCTTCACAGTAAACATGTCAATTCCAGCTTTCTCCGTTTTTCTCTGCAGGATTTTTCCCTTCGGTATTTAATCTTTTTTTTGGTTTCCTTCGTGGAAACGCGTTTATTCTTGTTAGGATTATCCTAATTAAATTTCTTTGTCGACTGATCCCCTGTATTATTTTATCTGGAAGTTGATGGATTGGATTGGATCGTCTGATGTATGAGTTGAAAATAAATCGTTTTTTGAACAACAGTTCGATAGTTGATTGTTGTCTGTGTCTTTAGTATTAGTTTGGCTCCAAGCAGCTCTTTTCTCAAAAATTAAACACAAAAAAAAGTGTATAAAAATTATGAAGTTAATATGACCGTAAGTGCTGGTAATATGGCCATTACCCTTGGCCATATTGACAGCAAAAACAACATGGTATAAATCTCTCCCAAGTTTGTAATTTATTAAAAAAATTAAAGGCAATGACTCTGATTAGATCTCTACTTAAATGCGCTAAACGTATATTGTCAAAATACTAATTCATTCTTTAAATGAAACTAACAATAAAATTAACTGGAAAATACTTTAATCAGAACAGAGCGCCTTCAGCACTTTGCTAAACGTTGATGTATATTGTCAAAATACTAATTATTTCTTTAAGTGAAACTAACGATAAACTTAAATTCTCGGCTATCCGGGAGACGCCGCGACGTTTCGCCTGACATGTCACAGGCTTCCTCAGGGCAGTGACCAAGCCATGAGGAAGCCTGCGTCACTGTCCTGAAGAAGCTTGCGACATGTGATGCGAATCGTCGGCCTCCCAGCCAACGACGTGGCGTCTCCCATATAGCCGAGAATTTATGGATTCGATCCGCCGAGGCTTGTACGTGTACATCTAACAATATACTTACCTGGAAAAAAATTAATGTGGACAGAGCGTCTTGAGCACTTTTTTTATAATGGAGGCTCCGGAGTGCGAACAAGAGGCCCGGAAGCGAGCATCATGCGTTCGGTCTGCACAGGACGTCCGGGACGCCGCCGTCGGATTCCAGTGACGACGACGACTTCCCCGGGGAGGCGGATCGGGAGGGCCAGGGCGTGGAGAGGCTGCTCGTGCCCGTGCTGCCTTCTGACACTCCGGGGGTTTTCATCGAGCCAGCCTCCCCCGAGGCGGACGCGGGGCGAGAGGGATTCACGGAGGGGGTGGAGGAGGCTGTGCAGTACGAAGACTACGAGGTCGGCGATAAAGCATCTTCGCCAATTGAAGGTATAATTATTCCTTTTGATTCATCGGTGGGTAGATCTTTCTGTAATATATTTGAACATCCATGTATCGATTTACATTAACAAATTGATTGTAAGTTTATTTGGATATAGCTCTGTAGCTTAAAATATAATTATTAATAATATATTTATATTAATTCGTCGGTATACAAGGGGAAACTGCAGCTACTACAGTGAAACTACACAGTCCATTTTAATGCGTTTGAGTTATTTATTTTACTGACAAGAAACTTTTCTGTGATTTGTCCGTGCAGGTCAAAATTTGGTCTCATTTTTTCTGTAGATTCAATATTATACGTGCTGTGAAAAATTAGCTGCCGTCGCGCACTGTAAGTTAACTTCAAAAATACAGCAACCAAAATTCTACCCTTTTAACTACGCAAATCGTCGTTTTAGCGGGGTTTGTACACCCCTGCCCACTGTGAGAGAATGTTTGCTGTCGGAACAAAGGCTTCTCCAATACGAACTCCAATTCAGGGTATCGAAACACGAAGCTATTGACTAGGGGGTGAATTTTGAATACATGCCCAAAAAATGATCAATAAAATGTTTTTAAAATGCCCTAAAGGCAAAGAAAGATGGCCTAAAAAATTGTTCAAACTCAGTTCAGATGAACAAGTGAAGGTGTTGATTATGTTTACTGATGTAATCAAGGCTTTTTCTTTTCGTTCAAGTGAACTCAGCTTGCAAACATTTGATTTGGTCCGTTCGTACCACAAAATAACACATTCCAAATTAATTGTCAGTGAATGTAAGTACTAGTCTGCTTGTACAATTGCAGAAACAAAAATGTTCTTCCCTACACGCAGGAGAGCCGGTCGATGAACGAGAGAACAACGAGCAATATGAACCTTTGAGCGCTCCTGAGGCAGCAGTTCCTGAGAGCGCAGATGCTGAGTTAGCGGTTCCTGCAGAACCTATGTCTTCACCTGCTTCATATCCTCTTGAAAAAGAAACTTCCCAGGCCGGCAGCACCTCGTCGGGCAAGAAAGTCAGACTTTCTGTGCCATTAGTAACTGTGGTTAGTGAGTTTCACTATTCAGATAACCTCAAATCTGTGTATCGTTTCAAATGTGATGCAGGGACCAAACATTGTATTTTTAACCATTTCTTGTTCGTTTGTTTTCTTAATATTCCATTTGGAGTTTTATAATTTCAATGAAAAAGGTTTGAGTATTCATTTGGTACATTTTGATATGAGCATGCAATTTCTAAAAAGAAGTGTCAATATTTTTTCAGACATTTAGCTCAAAATTGAGGTCTGTAAGATATTTACGAAATTTTAATTAATAGTTCAATAATGTAAAAACGCAGATATTTCATTTCAAAGTAGTTCTTAGTTTAAATGTTTTTTTATTCAGTATTTTACTATTAAAAATTCAGCAATTCAGGTAATTAACTAATGGTAGAAAAAAATAATGTTAGTGTCATTAAATGTATATAGGAACTTATTTTACAACATTGTAAAAATACAACAGTTGCGTAATAATAATAATAATAATAATAATAATAATAATAATAATAATATGCCTATACACATTATACAATACATACTAAACATATGTAATACACAATACATACTAAGGATATAATAATACCCTACATACTAAGCCCTTTCCTGTATTTACCAAATACACAACCTTTCACTTTAGTTTTCTAATAACCACGTCATCTTATCCTGAATGTTCTACCTTGCCCACATATTTCCTTCGTAAAACATGAGACATCTCTCTAAAATATGTTCCCAATCTTCCTCTTTCATCTCCCAGATTCTACATTTTCCCCCTCAGTATTAAGCCAATATTTACTCTATCTAATTTCATTACCGAACCTATATCTTGCTATCCTACGTCTATAACTTTCCTTTCATTTACCTTTCAAATAGGTGAAAATATTGTATCATTCATCTGAATGATTTTATACAATTTGTTAAAATTAAAATTCCATGTTTTTCCCTGCATAACTGTTCTATTTCTCGTTGTGACAATTCTTTACTTATGCTTATCCCTTATCCTCTTAACCTTCACACCTCCTTCAAATAATAACCTTTATTTTTCAAAAACATTCCTTTTTCCAATCATATTTCTCTATAATAATATTATATTATAATATTCGAGTAGCCCGTTATTTTCTTCAAAAAATCTAAAGAATTTACCGAAGCAGGTAAAGATCTATCTCAGAAGATACCTTGATTTACCGAGAAAGTTAGAACGCAAATTATTGAGAAAGTTGCAAAGGCATGACTGATTCTCCAGAGATTTGCATTGCTTCATAAAATCTAATGGACGATTCCGTAACTAATACTCTACTCTACCGCATTTTTACCCGCACTCTACTCGCATTTCTTCAATCCATTGTTCACTAAAAGTTGCGCGAGTAATATAAAAGGCACTCGAGCCGATCTTCTGCTGCTAGAGGGCAATAAAAACACATTTCGCCGCACTGTCCTAACAGATACGTACGTCGCACCTCCCACATTTTGCGCTTTTATACACAGTGTTGCTTATCTAACAACTCTACGCAAACGCCTCTACTCTCGATCATTAAGTGAAGACCGTCGGCCACTGGTGATTAGAGATTACGCCTGAAATTAGGTATTCTCGATACACTCTTGACAATTTGGGTTTCGAAATACTGAATTCCCTAACGACTTCCGAAATGGAATGCCCCGTGCGTCTAGCTCCTATTACCATCCGCGTTCGAAGTCTGATAATTCCTGTCATGCGGCCATAATCACAGCAGAAACCTTTTTTCATGAATCACGCAAGTACAAATGAAAGCTCTGTCAGTGCACAGCCTGTTTATTACTTTTGCGATACTACTGCCATGTATATATTTGCACATTGATTTATTCGGAATTTTATCACTTGAGTGCGTATTATGCATAGTGGTAATTGCTCAACTCTTGGCTTGGTGGTTGTGAATCATTTCCATTCGTGCCCGCCGACTGTGAAGGGTGCGTTAGCAGTCTGTCCCGCGCTGTCTCTTCGCACAAAATGAATCTAAATCTCTCTATTTGTTTGGAAGGGAGAAAAACATTTCATAATCCACATGGTATATTATAATGGATAAGAGACAAAATAACTCTGTGTAATGAAACAGATTCCGAGGTTTAGAGTAAGGTAGGACGTTACCGTCCCAATCGGAAGCAGATTACAAAACTGTTACTATTAGATTATAACACGTACTCGAATGCAGCTGGAAAAAGGTCGGGTAGAAACAAAATGACATAAAGGATTCATAAGATCACGTGATCTTGATGAAAATGAAGGTGAAATTTCAAAAAATTCGCTTGGGTTGTCTCTGATCTTACTGCTTCTTTGTTGTCACATTTACCTACACACTTTTTAACCACCAAACTAGCATCGTCCTTTTAACGTTGATCGAGAATGTGAATGTAATTATTTTGAGACCATTCCAAAGTCGATGCGGACTGTTTGTCGTTTTGAACAGCCGAAGCCAACAACGCTGCCGGTGGAGTTCTCGGAGAAGGCAAGAAAGGGCTCCGAGGAGACGCAGAAGCAGGATCAGGCCAACGCAACAGGCTGCCCAGCGGCCGTCGCGCATGCCCCAGGACGTCCGACCCTCGGAGGCCGAGTCACTCCGGGTTGGCTCGGGTATCGGCCCGCGAATAAAGACTCCAGCGCACGTGGGACACTGCATGTCGGCAAGCTTGCATCAGATGCAGTGCAGAACAGGTAAAATGCGCGTGTTTTTAAATGTCACGGCTGTGATTTCAACTATGTTATTAATATTAAAAACATTTTCTAAAATAGCGAGGGAAAAATTTCTTGATCACATAGGACAAAACATGCATTGCAAAACTAAAACTGGGTGTAATGGCAACAAGAAGGCGAGTGAAACCGTTTAATGAGTTTTGCGACTTTTATAAAAAAAATAAGTGTACATCTAATGAATGAGCATTCAAAATAATGACCCCAAACACACCCAAATGCCAGAACATTTACTGCTTCTTCAAGTTACAAATAGTTGTTCGATTTTGCTGAAATTTTTCTTTGAATATTTTATTGATATCGACACTTCATGAGACCAGATTCTAACGTTGTAGATAACTCTCGATGTTAACAGTGAAAACCAGACCTATGTCACCTACATAACTGCATTTAACTATATTCTTACAAGAAATTTAAAGAAAAAAATTGGAACAAATTTGAGAAAATTTTGAAAATGTTCCAGGAGCCTTATGTAAGGTACGCCAAATTGCTATTTCGACCACATAATATCCATTTTGGGAAATATTCAACGTTTAGTTTAGGCGTTAGTGGTGTTCGCATACGAACGGACACAGACGGACAAACAGACAGACGGGTGGACATTTTCGAAAAATAACACTTTTTCGGTATAGGCGGATCTAAAAACGTGTAGTTTCTTTGAAATTTCGAATTCGATTTCTCGCAGCATTACATAACGTTCTCTATATACTACGAATTTTTCTCTATATATACACACGTAGACTAGAAAGTAAAAATAAGCTTTTAAAACTAGATGATTGTAAGAACATATAACATTTGGTATTTTTTCTACAGACTCAAGAGCTTAACAGAACCTACTCCTCCTCCGCCAACACCAGCGGCCGACTCAGAGTTTTCCATTCAGCCGCATTATCTCCCTGTCCGTACGCCGTCCAGCTCAACGGAGTCCCTCTTGAACAGCAAGATGCAAATCGTGGTGAGGCGGAGGCAATCAGCGACCCATATGTCACCCCCGAAGACATCGGCGACCATTTACGTGTCGCCCGTGTGGGAGCCAGCTACGTCGTGCTACATGACGATCGCCGACACAACTACTAATACTACTTCTACTCCCGACGTGTCTCAATTCACTTCGAACTCCAGTTCGGATTCAAGCAGTTTGGAGAACGAGGTACTGGAATGTGTGAGCATGCGATCTCTCTTTCCTGAATATTCCTTCCTCACAGCAAATTAGGTCTCCTTTCTGTGGCAACGAGGCAATGGATACATTTTATAATGTGAATAAAACGAGCCGATTGCTTAAAAAGTTACATTGTAGGCTTTGCACTGGCTGAAAGGCTTTCGGCTAAGCGGTATTTAATCACGGTAATGTTGAATGTCGATAATATGAGAGGTATTTCTTGAAAGTATGATGTGGCATAAAGTATTGAATATTAAATATTATTTTTCTCAGAAGTAAAGTTAGATTAAAGTTTTTTCAAACATAAACACAGAAAATAGTTATTTTATTGGAGTCATCTTTTATCTTGAGAACCAACACGTAAATTCCTTCAGACTTCTGAATGTCATTAGCATCGACAAAATTGTCGCGAGTGATTTTGTGATCTCACAAAACCTCCTCCCAGAAACAAACGATGCGCCCCATTGTGAGAATTGAAACAAGCACAGGCCATCCAGTTTGACCAAGACTTTTCGTAAAAAGCAAAATTAACTCAATAATAGTTGACAACATGACATTAAAAAATTCTTAATTTCATCCAAACTATCCTATATAAGTTGACATGAGTGTCTGAATTTCTACATTTCACATACATATCGGGTTCAACAGAATTTCATTATATTAATGTAGGGAATACTTAATACTGTATAACAAAAACCCATCTGTCTCAGTATTTTCGATGATTCACATTGCAGTAAGATATGTAATTGTGAATAATTCTGCCCCAATTGTCTATAACCAGCAAAGATGGCTCAGAGTATCAACTGATGTCACGGCAGGGCCTGCGACCGAGAGGTTTTAGGGTTTGAGTCCCGGCGGTAGAAGGATTTTCGACACTGACTGGTCAGCTAGTTCGAATTGAGTCGTCTGGTGGAGGATTCTAGCGGCCTTTTGCTCTGATCGGTATTTTTCCATGTTTATTCCGATCACCATCAGGCGGACTCTGGAGTAGTACCCCAATCGGGCTACGAACCGCGTGCGATCTATACTTCCCCTTCCTTACAGCTTGCTTACACACATATATACTAACACGCATTACACTATCACACATGCAGGAAAACCGGTCGTGAGTTTAGAGATTATCCCTGCTGGGCGGTGCAACGTTGGTGGGAGACACCTTGTCGGGTAAAACTCCGCAAGCCAACGTAGGTCGGCGTCGGATCTCACCAGCGAGGGAGTTGAGGATCACCGCCATCACCCGCGATAAAAGCTATGCACTACACTTACAGTGAAGCGATCAGAATCAATATCCAGACAGTGAATCAACGGAAGGCTCAAATTATTAACTATGGAAAATATCACACTACACAACTGGAACTTGTTGCCAGTCTCGGGAGCCGCCGCAGCCGCCGCCCGCAACGCCGATGGCGCTGATGGAGGAGGCGGTGGCGAAGGCGAAGAAGCTGCTGCAGCAGCCGTCGGGGGCCGCGGAGAAGAAGCAGCAGGCGCAGAGGGCGGCCGAAGTGCAGAACACCCACGCGCTGCGCTGCGAAGCCTTGAAGTGGGCGCGCGGCGAGCAACTGCACCCTCACTGCGCCTTCATCGCCTTCCCCAACGACGCAGAGCAGCGCTCGCTCAGGCCCTGGCCCAGCAACAGGCTCACCAGGTGACTCACTCAGCACTCGCACAGGCTCTGGCCCACCAACCGGCTCACCAGGTAACTCTCCCAGCTCTCGCCAGGCCCTGGCTAAGCAACCGGCTCACCAGGCAATTCTCCCAGCGCTCGCTCAGGCCCTGGCCCACCAACCGGCTCACCAGGTGACGCCCCAGCGCTTGCTCAGGCCCTGGCCCTGGAACAGGCTCACCATGTGGCTCACGCAGCGCTCTCTCAGGCCCTGGCCCAGCAACCGGCTCACCAGGTGACTCTCCCAGCTCTCACCAGGCCCTGGCTCAGCAACCGGCTCACCAGGCGACTCTCCCAGCGCTCTCTCAGGCCCTGGCCCAGCAACAGGCTCACCATGTGGCTCACGCAGCGCTCGCTCAGGCACTGGCCCAGCAACCGGCTCACCAGGTGACACCCCAGCGCTCGCTCAGGCCCTGGCCCTGGAACAGGCTCACCATGTGGCTCACGCAGGGCTCGCTCAGGCCCTGGCCCCGCAACAGGCTCACCAGGTTACTCTCCCTGCCCTCGATCAGGCCTTGGCTCAGCAACAGGCTCACCAGGTGACTTCCCAGCGCTCACTCAGGCCCTGGCCCAAGAACAGACTCCCCAAGTGACTCACCCAGCGCTTGTTCTGGTCCTGGACCAGCAACCGGCTCACCAGGTGACACCCCCTGCGCTCGCTCAGGCCCTGGCCCAGCTAAAGACTTACCAGGTGACTCACCCGGTACTTACGGCAAACCATGGTTTAGCAACAAACTCACTAAGTGACACAGGTCTCTCAAAATGTGGCCCCAGATGACCTCACACAACACTTACTTTGTCTCTGGTCTGGGAATGTATTCACCATGTGGCACACTCAATGCAAGTTCATGTCGTGTTCCATACCGAGATTCACCAGGTAATTCACCCAGATGATTCTCTCAGGGCTTGAATCGTAAACACACTCATCAGGTGACAACACACAGAGCTCCATCAAACGATTTTTTAGCAAAAAGGTGTCTCACTCATAACTCTCGCTGCAATCACTGTATCAGGTTCACCAAGTAATACACACAGTCCTTGCTCACGCGCCGGTTCAGCAATTGACTCACAAAATAAGTCACACATTAATACGTTCATTGAGATTAGTGCCCAGGAAGTTACTTACCACCAACATACCGACTTACAGAACATCCAATGGGTGACGCAAATGTAGTTCAGAGCATCAACTCATATCACTGCTGTGCCTCTGATCTGGAGGTCCTCGGGTTCGTGTTCTGACAGTACAGAAGTTTCGACGCTAGCTAGAGATTTAGGTCGATTTGAGCTTCTGAAGGATATTTGTAGCCTCCGGTTACTCTGATTGGTATTTTTTCGTGGTTTCTCCGATCAACACAAGGGAATGCCCTAAGAAAATACCCCCGGGCCGCACACGGGTCTTTCCTTCCCCTTCGTTATCCTATCCTCGCCCCTTACTTCCTTATTTACCTGTACTTGCATCCACTACAATCTCTTAAATTCCGTCAGACTAGTGGGGAGCTTGGAGCTCTTCCAGACTTGGGCAATTCCACGCTGCTGGAAAATATCTGATTGCGCAAAAAACCCACGGCGCGGGACATAACAGACCTCTTGACACTAGCTAGAGAGTTAAATCGAATTCAGCTTCTGGAGGATATTTCTAGCGTCTAGTTTTTGTGATTGGTAGCTTTCCGTGGTTTCTCCGGTCAAGGATCAATACCGTAAGAAAATACCCCCGGAGCGCGCACGATCTTTCTTTCCTCTTCCTTATCCTATCCTCGCCCCCTACTTACACACACTTGCACATACATCCACTCACTTGCACACATGCCGGGAGTCAATTGGGAAGCTTCGAACCTGCTTGACTTGAGCAGTTCCATGCTGGTGGGAGATATATGATTGGGAAAAAAATCGTGTCAAGATGTCATAGGTCGGCGCCCCCTCACTCGACATGCCGCGTAGGAAGCTCAGAGCCACCTCCTGTGATCATACATGCACTACGCATAAGGGAATAACCCCCCCCCCAGTAGTTGCCGCACACTGAATGAGTGGCCGCCCGCAGGACCATCTTCACGGGCGAGGCCCGCTACGCGGCGCCGCCGGACGCGGCGGAGGCGGCGACGGCGCAGGAGGTGCTGGCGCGGGCGGCGCTCGCGGACGAGGCGAGGCGCGTGCTGCGGGCGCACGGCGACCGCGTGCGCGCCGCCGCGCTCGCCGCCGTCGACCGGCCCCCGGCGCCCGAGTACGACGTGGGTGCTTTCGCCTTCCCTCGACCTCGACACATTTGCACACATGGAAGTTTTCCTATTTGGGGCGTTGTATCATTTTTTTGTTGTTGTAATTTTCTTCCTCCACTTATACAAGACGTCCAGGAAGGGTACTAAACAGAAAGGTTAGGCTTTTAAGCTTTCAATTTTTTTAAATTTTATTTTATTTTGAGTCACATCAAAATCCAAGTTGTTAGGTTATTATCGACAGGTTTTCAGCAACTAAATAAGTACAGTATTTCACATTTTACAATGACAATGTTAAGTTTTTACAAGTATGGTTCTAATGAAAAAGGTACCAAATGAGTTAGGCTTGTTCTCCAGTTCATGGATATGAGAAAAGTTGGTATGACCTGATATAATGCGTGAAAGAGTGACTTTCTCATGATTGGGTTGCATATATTTTGAGGGCAATAATTCATCAGTTTATTGATGAGTTGTGTGGCTTTGTTATTATTACATTGAGATGACCACATCTTCTTAATTACTTTGCCTGTAAACTTCAGGCAGTATTCAATTGCGTAAGACATTTTTATATTAAATTTTCTCTTTAAAGTCAATAAACATAGAAACAGTTGATTTGGTAATCGAGATTCTTGCTTCTATTTTGTTTGTAATATGAATCACCACAGGTTGGATAAACATGTCATTTGTTTCTCCATATTTCAATCAAGTTTCTGCCGATCAATGGTAGATAATTACTGGGTGAAACTTTAATGCCATTCCGTATATATGTTGATAAAATAATATTTATCGTTGTTGAGTTGGATTTGGAAAGCTTCATTGCCATTACGCCATTATAAAATGCATAATGTAAGCTTCTTTTGCAAGCAAAGATCCTAAACTGGATGAGAAAGGTCTTTCTTGGAGATTGGATGCATAAGTAAAGTCCATCATTTTCCTTGACACTGTGTTGAAACTCCCACTTCCAGTATAACAAGCACGCAAGGTCTTTAAACAGGAATATTCGTGCTATTTAACCACATATGCCTATCATCCTCTTGGGCTGCTG